TATTTTAGGTAAAGGAGTGTAATTTTTTAATTTTAAAATATTATAACATAAAAATTATGGTAAATAAACAAGCGGATGTGTTGTGATAACAAACAAGCTCATTCCGCACTCAGTTATTATTAACCTATTAAAGCGTGCGGCCGATAAATATAATATATTAAAATAATATTATTATATAAAAGTTTTATTATTAATATTTGGGTGAGCTTTAAAATAAAATCAGTGTGACTAAAATTTGTGATCCTAATAAAAATGTTTTAGAACCAAAAAAGACTGAATTCTTATCGAAATTATAAACAATACTTTGGAAATTAACTGAGGTAAAAATTTAACTCAAGTTATTTTAACATAAATTTTTTCTATAAATAATATTAATTTCAAATACGGGGTGGTATTATCAACATAAAAATTTTCTTCAAATAATAATATTTTTAATATACAGGGTAATAATTTCAAAATAAAATATTTTCTTTAAATAATAGCAATTTCAATACACGGGTAATATAATATTTTTTAAATAATATCATATAAAATTAATTTTTCACTAGATTATAATACATCACTTTCAAAACTTGGGTAATATTTTAAATATAACCAACCCCACCAATAATATATCTATCGTATTTTTCTTTTAGAACATCAGCAATCAGCACAGAACCAAAGCACATCAGGGACCGCATCATACAACTTCTCTACAACACACAAACCAGTTTCAGAACCTACATGATCAGCAACCAACCCGGAACCAAAGAACATCTTAGACCGCATCATACAAATTCATCACAACACGCACTCCAGATAATATTAAATATTAATTAAATATTAATTTTTATGTTAGTACACATAGGGAAAACGTTTGGGAATTCATAAAAATATCTCAGATTTTCTTTGATTAAGAGACTTACAATACCTAAATTTTTTCAATGTGGGTATACAAAGTTGGTTCAATAAATAATACATGATAATTTAACATATTTTTATTATAATCTTTTTTAAATAAACACAATATATCATAAATGTTAATAAACTCAGTACAAAACAAGGATGACATCTCAAATAGCTGTTTATTTATGGTAACTTGATATTAAAAACCAATATTATTATTTTTAACTGTATTATACTAAAGTAAGTAAAGTAAAGTAATTTATTAGTCTGATAATGTTACAGCATAAATACATGTAATTATATACTTAACAAAATATGGACATCGTCAAAGTTTATAAACGTGGAATAAGTCTAAAAGAACATACATTTTAATCATTTAAAAACTCATTTAAAGAGTAATAGGTTCTGTTTATTAAAAATTCTTTTAATTCTCTATTTAATTTGTTTTTGTTGTAGTTAGCAAATTTTTTATTTAATTGGAGAAGTTTTTTCATGCAGAGTATCCCTGCATAATCAGGGTTTTTTTCTGATACCTTTAGTCTCGCAATAGGTTGTATTGTATTGTTTTTGTACCTGGTATCATAACCGTGGACATCTTCTTTTGGTAAGTGGGGTTTGGACTTGATATATGTTAATAATGAATAAAGATAGAGTCCAGTGAGAGTTAGGATTCCTTGTTCTCTATAACATTCCCTGCAAGATGATCGTTTGCTTAGTCCGAACATATATCGTAGTGCTTTTTTTTGTATTGTAAGAACCTTAGCCACTTCCGTAGCTTGCCCCCACAATAAAATGCCGTAGTTCAATCTTGACTGAAATAGACCATAGTATGCCGTTTTTAGTACTTCGGTCGAAACTGTATTTTTAAGATTTTTTAAAAGGTAGCAAGAGCTGTTAAGTTGTGATATTAATTTATTAATATGGGTGGAAAATGTTATTTTTTGATCCATGTGGAGACCTAAAAATTTTGTACTTGGGCTAATTGGGATTGATTTATTGTTATGTTTTATAAGAGGATATTTATTAATAGATGCGTTGGATGGGAAAATCTGCATAGCCATGGTCTTTTCTGTGTTAATTTTAAGCTTTTTCCTGATGGCCCACTCTGTGACGATTTTGATACATGCATGCGCCTTTTTCCTCAGGTCATCAATGTTCCCCGCAGCAATCAGTACATTAGTGTCATCCGCGTAGAGTACTGGAAGTCCTATGTCTTCCAGTAGTCCAGGCAGCGAATTTATAAAAATATTAAACAAGGTAGGAGATAGGCATGACCCCTGCGGTGTGCCTATGTCTGTATATTTTGTATCCGAAATTGTATTATTTATACTCACAACCTGTAGTCTATCTGATATGTATGACATAATCCAATCAAGGGGAGTGCCCCTGATACCAATGTCATGAAGTTCATCGGCTAGTATATCATGATTTATAAGGTCGAAAGCTCGACTTAAATCGAAAAAGAGTGCAAGGATAAGATTCTTATTGTCTAAGTGTTTATGTATAAAATCGAAAGTTTCTTTTAGTGCCGTTTGTGTGCTCCGACCATTGCGGAAACCGTTTTGATGACTCGAGAGCAAATAGTTGCTTTCCAGAAAATTTATAAGTCTCTTATTAAAAACATATTCAAATATCTTTCCAAACTGGCATTGTAGCGCGATAGGTCGATAGTTTTGTTTATCGTGCCTACTACCCTTGTGTTTGAAAACGGGTATAATTTTCGATTTTTTAAGTATTTGTGGGTATTTACCCTCTACAAAGCTTTTGTTTATAATAAATGACAGGGGAGAAGCTAAACAATTGCGGGCTGCGTTTATGACGTGACCCGGAATATTATCAATGCCACTAGACTTTTTCTTACACACCTGAGATATTGCATGTACTATTTCTGTCGGTGTAGTTGGAGTGTAGTTGGAGTAAGGAAAAAGACTATAATAGTAGTTGATTTTAATTTAATGAAAACTACATTTACAAACATAAAATATTTTTACATGTTATTTATATTACGAGAATAGTTAGTTATTCTATGAATTATACTACAATTGTAAAACTGGGCCTTAGGACTTAGAATGCCTAAATTTTTTCAATGTGGCTATACAAAGTTGGTTTAATAAATAATACATGATAATTTAACATAGTTTTTATTATAATCTTTTCAAATAAATGTTAATAAACTCAGTACAAAACAAGGATTACATCTCAAATAGCTGTTTATTTATGGAACCTTGATATTAAAAATCAATATTATTTTTTGCTGTATTATACTATAATAGTAGTTTATACCCCTCAAACCCACAAATATTGAAAAATATGTTTTAATTAGTCTTTGAGGAAGTTTTAATGGTTATTATTAAAGTAAAATAAAAAACAAGATTTTTATATACATTTATTTGGTTAGTAATATGTTTTTACATTAAATAAACTAAAATAAATCTAGAAAGGATTAAGGTTATTCAATATATCCAGTTCGTCTAAGCTCAGAAATGATTTCATAAAATTCCATATCTTCCTCATCTAGTTGTTTTAATCGCTCAACAAGTATGTTTGGATCAGACCAATTATGATGAATATCTAAAGCTTCATCTAATGGAGTTGGTTTTACAGAAGACTTCTTTTGTGCTGTTCTATCTTCAGAATCAGATATTTTTGAGGCTCTCTTTACACCCTTCCTAAACAAAGGTCTAATGATATTATCAAATTTTTCAGGGCATGCTTGATGACGTAATCGACCTTTGGAATCACGATGGGCATCGGATAGTTCTAATATTTGTTTATATATCTGTGAATCGTTAACTGTAAAGGCTAGCGGATTCTTGCAAAATATTAGTTGCTGTAGACCCATACTGCTTTTAAATGTTTTGTCACCCACAACTATATGGCCATCATCAAAATCTACCTGTTTATTTCCAAGTAACCACACCCCATTTTTTAATTTCGGCCCATATGCATTATCGTTGTTATTACAAGAGTGTAGGATTTTTTCTATGTTTTGTGGAGTGTAGTAATTAGTTTGTAGTTCGGTTGCCTCAGCTTGTTCTTGAGAATTAGAGCGTTTTTCCAGTCGCATATCATTCAAATCATTATACTTTTGTTTAACTGATTTTGCAAGCTCCGAAACACATTGTTTACCGTACGACATGATATAAGCAAATGGGTTTAAGGTCGCTGTGTAATCATATTTATATACATGACAGGTACATGACAGGTACAGGACAGGTGCAGGATAGGTATAGGACAGGTATATGATAGGTACAGGACAGGTACATGGCAGGTACAGGGCAGGTGCAGGATAGGTATAGGATAGGTACATGACAGGTACATGACAGGTACATGACAGGTGCAGGATATGTATAGGACAGGTACAGGATAGGTACAGGACAGGTACAGGATAGGTACAGGACAGGTACAGGATAGGTACAGGACAGGTTAGAAATAGCTGCTTTATATTTTCATTATGGATCTATGTAAACTGAACTGAGAAGTTTTCAACGCGATGTCTATTTTTCATGTGGCGGTATATATCCGTTCTATTCATAAATTTACCGCACATTTCGCAAAGTAACTGTCGTCGATCGTATTCAAACTGCCACTTCTTAAAATCTGCATAACAGGACCATGAAATAGAATTAAAAGGGATCCAGGTTCTACTATTTTTACCACCTTTAATAAAGCATTTATCACAAAGACTACGTCCTGTATCAGGATACTCTTGATAACAGTGTTCACACTGCATGTCTACACAGCATGAAAACTCAATAGTGAATGATCTGTCGATTCAATTATCGCCTAATATACCCCAATTAGTGAAACCGCCAATATTTTTTAAATTGAATACCTTAATGTATAAATAAAACCTCCAATATTTTTTTAAATTAATAATACATTAACCTTCGAATAAATTACTTTTAATATTTAATCGATGGGCTTAAGGATAAATAAATATCTACCAATTGCCACTCTTGGTCGAATAAAGTTTATTTATAAATTAAATTTATTTATAAATAAAATTTATTCTTAACAATAGAAACCGCGGGAAGGTGGTGGCTTTCTTCTATCAGGAGAGGAGGGATAAAGGATGGGGTGGAGATGGGAAAAAATAGCTCTTTAATCAAATAATTATAAATATGTTTAATGATATCTACTAGGGTACCGGTGTGAATTTGCATCTTTTTTGTAATGGTTCTTTTTTATAATGGCTCTTTTTTACTCTCATCGGCTCTAGTTTGTGGTTAGGCTATCGATGGAAATTGGCATCTTTTTATAATGGCTCTTTTTTACTCTCATCGGCTCTAGTTTGTAGCTAGGCTACCGATGGAAATTGGCATCTTTTTTTATAATGGCTCTTTTTTCTCTCACGACTCTAATTTTCAAATTAGCTATCGCGAGGTAATGGCTCTTTTATTGTGTATATAAAAAATAATGCAAATATCAGCGGTTTTAGTTTACCAAAAAATATTTTAAAATGGTGTGCAAATAAAAATATTAGTCAACATCCATATCAGCACCGCCCTCAATCATATAATGTCCCCATGGGAGAGTTTTATATGTTCCAGGGATAAGATGCCGCTTATCATCATTCGATGAAAGAGCAATCTTCTGTTGGGTAATGGAATGGACTTGATGTTTCTCGGACCGGATTAAATTTTGGGTGACCGTCCGTTGCTGAAAACTATCAAGACATTCGACATAATCGCTGAATGTTATCTCCGTTTTCACAACGGACGATTTAACACCCTTTGCTTTCTTAGCGGTACCCATGTTCTTGATTTCCATATCTATTTCCTCATTATCAAACCCTTCATCCTGCATTTTTTTTCGTTTTTTTAATATATCCTCCCCCGTTTGCAGCACCTTAGTCGAGTATAGTTTAGATCTGAGTCCTACATAATGCGTCATCGGGGTGCCGCTGTTTTCATCAGTCATCATCCCGAGAACTTTCTTGTTAACAAGGGGTATTCCATAAACGTTATCTGCAGAATAATCGCTAGTATCGAAGTACTGGTGGCAGTCGCGCTTCACAACTTCATACGGGTCTTGGTGCAGCTCGTAGATGAGGCTGTCTGTGTCGGTATAAAGAACCGTACATTCGGGGAAAGCGTCTACCATATAGTTATAATGAAATTCGTATATGGTAGTCTTCGCCAAGTCAAGGATAGCCTGGCCTACGTAAATTGGTTTGTTCAGCCAGATCTGCAGTTTGCGAAGCTCAACCGCCACCAAGTTTTCATTGAAAATTGTACAGTTTTTAAATTCGGGTTTTGCAATGTAGGCCTCGGCGCCGTAGCGCCCATTCCACTCGGTTAAGAGTCGGATATTGACCCTCTTCCGAATGTTCTCCATGGTCTTACCGAACACCGCGTTGTTCATCAATTTAAATAAATTCTTTTCAAACTCATTCGCAGCTTTCTTCCGCAGCTCGGTATTTAGATCGATGTAGCTCTTCAGCCACGGAGCCTGCTTAAATTTGAGAACACGGTGGATTTTGGTTAAAACTAATCCATTAGCTAACGCCTGCTTTAAAGCTCGGTAATGGATGACGTACTTTGTTTTGCCGTTCAAAGTAGCCATCAACTTGGTGAGCTCTCCAGCTGCCTTTGGAGGCTTGCCGGTCTTAGGATTAATATGTTGTGGGCAGAATGGAATATCTTTATGTAAATCATGGAGTTGTTCGGGGTATGATAGATCTACCTCTAGCATATACCCTTCATTAGCATCATCCGGGATTGAGGTGACATCTATGTTGGCGTCAACCCAGTCAAACCCTCCAAACGGTAAATATTGGGACATAGCCCACCCATACTGATTATTAACGTCAAAGTACATAAGGTACTTTGACGGTTTTGATGAGTCATATGCTTGAGCCATATATTTATTGTTAGCCTGAGAACGTCGCTTACCACAAACTTGACTTAACCCGCCTCTAATACCCCGCTCAACAAAGAGAAACATATCGAGGTCGGTTAAAAGCTCCAACTCTTGCTCGGTATACTTGAGCATACAGTCCCAAGTGTAGCCGGGTAATGTAAAGTAGTGAGCGGGGTCGAGTTCATAAGTTTTAAGGCAGCTGGTGCGAAACTGCTCGAAGACGTCAGCCAACAATAAAATATCGGTCTTCATGTAAAGGTCTACGTACTCGCCCAAATCTCGGCATCCAAAGCTGCTCCAAACCTCATTAGCGCGCTGATAAAAGCGGCGGGGACAGGGCTTTTTCTCTAACTTATTATAGAATTTTTCAATGTCCGGAAGCCTGGTTTCATTAAAACGATTAAACGAATCAATATAATCATACGGCATAACTCCTTTCTTTGTTAGCAGCTTAAACTGCTCATCAGGTAATTCCGAAAACTGCGATTTCAAATTAGGAAATTCTTCCAAGTATGACGCCAACTTATCCAAACTGCCGGCCATGAATCGAAAAGAGTCGATAAACCGAAATTGAATTGGGAAGCCGTCGATATGCTTCGTAAAGGAGATATATTTCTTCTCCTTGGTAATCGGAAGCAGATCGATATTTCCCTTCATCTTTGTGGCAATGTCTGTTATTATAAATTGGGCGTCATATCCACTTAAATTGTGGAAGACAACCGGCACCGTATGACTATCTTTATAATTGATATTACACGATTCATGAGCAGCTCCTCTGTAATTATTCTCGGGTATCAGGTGGTTATGGTCCCTTACTTTCTTGTCTTCTGCTGTAAAAGGCTGCTCACAAATATGACAGCATGTTGCGAGACGGAAGCTGAGTTCTTGCGCGACCGTCATATCGATATCATAGGGGCACCAAAACACAGTTGACAAATCTTCAGCCAAGCTGTTCATTTCATCTGCAAACCACGCCATACAGTCCTGCCCGCGATAGCCTTTGTAAAAAGAGAGGCTATTGTCATAGGAACATTTCATGTAATAACCAATGGCAGCTGGAACGTGGTGTTGCGGCTTATTCGGGTTATCTGTCCGTTCCAGAACACTCTCCAGGTCGGCATATACTATGAAAGGCGCCTTCTCTTTATTTTTAAAATTTTTAAATTTTAAAATGTTTTTTCCAGGTTCGGGCATCTTTATAGCCGTCTCGTTTATTTTCCGGCACTCATCAGTATGTTTGTCGAGTTTTTCTTGCGATATGAAATAGTGTAAGCAGCGATCACAAAAAAATTTACATCCATTATGTTTACTCAGCTGACTTGAGAAAAGTCGGGACATGCTTTTTATCCATATAAAGTGATACTTTGTAGGAGCGTCCTCATTATAGCTATCCTGAATAAGCAATAAATTTACATGTCTGTCCTTCTTAATTTTAGTTAAATAGGTCGGAAGCACTGTAAATTTGGACTTTTCCTTTTCCAATATATAGACATTTATTGAAACATCATTCTGTTTTTCGAAATTAGGAATCTGCTTCATAGTCATTGGCCATTGCATTCCCTTTAATTTGAGAACAGATGAATAGTGAGGATATGACGATGCCCGATTCGAATGTTTGACTGCTGGGTGAAGGGCTGATGTAACTGCCCAAGCAAAACAGGCCTCATCAGTGTTTTTGACATTTATACAAGCCTCTTTCTTCTTAATTTGAGGTGGGAGCTCGATGTATGATGATCCAAGTTGGGGTGTATACTTGTTTATATTAACCCCCAAATTAAGCACCTTCTTAAGGGCCCAACCGCTGTCACGTTCTTGGAACTCCTCTAGTTCAGTCATTATAGGGGCTGTAATGTGTTTATCAAACCATTCGTCAAGGTTGGTGTCCCTATAGATTGCTGAGTTCGAAGTAGTGAAGTACTTGTACTCGTTAAGTACACTATCTCCCTTCACTATCTCAAATTCTCCGCAAAAGGTTGCATTGACCTTTACGGCAGCATCTTTTTTCAGAGCGTTCTGAATGCGCCTTCTGAATAGTGCTTTACAATCTACCAAAAAAGCTAAGGGGTCTTTATGTTTAAGGCTGGATATCACCCCTGTTCGAATGCGACTCTCAAAAGCCGACACCGAATCATCCCAACGTACACGATTCCAGGCCGTTTGAGGCCTCAGCCCTTCCCCCTTCTTTTGCGTAACTTTGATCTGGTTCCTCAGGCTTCGTATATTCCGGAGGGATGCCTCCAGTTTCTGTCTCTCACCTTGCGTTTTTGCTCGTCTTAATGCATCTTTGATGCGTTTAACGCCCTTAAGGCATTCACGCAAGCCTTCTTTCGCAATTTCATCATCATATTGGGGTGTTAAAAGCCCCAATAGAGCGGTAATATGCCTTATAAGCACCGCAAACATGCTGTAGAATAGAATAAACCAAAATAACTTAAAAACTTTTATATAATTTAGATAATTCTTGAAAATTAAATTTACAGCTAAAATGTGCAACCTTTCACTTCAAAGTTCTAAAGTAGAATGATTCAAATAAGATATCTATAGCGTTTATATAAACTAATTTAGTTGCAACAGCGGTGAGATGTATAAAATTAAGTTTGAAAAATCACTGCGCTTATATAATAGTCTAAGAATTAAAAATCAAAGAAAATTACCTCGATATCTAGGGAAGCAGCTATCGCCACTAAATGATAAGAGTAATTGATTGTGAGCGATACCTTCACCTCCTTTTATACCTTTGCCTATCTTCAAGGTCGGACAAAAGACTGAATACCGCTCGAAAATTCCTCCGGGTCGGCTATCTCCCTGTGTTAAAAGTGTTCGTCTTTCTGCGTTTTCGGTGCACTCACCCATAAGCATTAAACTAATTAATGCTGGAAAAATATCATTTTATTTTTAGTTTTTCAACATTATTTATAATTTTACTATTTTATCATTATATGATAAACACATTTAATTTATGTAAATTAAATAAAATTTATAATTTTACAATTGTTCTGCAGCTTTTATGGTAGGTAATGAAATGAAATTAAATTTTTCACCATATTTAATTTATTTAAATGGATTTTATAATTTATAAGAATGAAATATTGTTGCATAATATTACGCAACATCCTCTAATAATGTCATCACTATTTTAAAGATAAGGGTTATTTTAAACATATCAATTTATCAAAAATAATTTTATACTATTGAATATTAATTAATATTTAAATTATTTCATAATTTTACAATTGTTCTGCAGCTTTTATGGTAGGTAATGAAATAAAATTAAATTTTTCACCATATTTAATTTATTTAAATGGATTTTATAATTTATAGGAATGAAATATTGTTGCATAATATTACGCAACATCCTCTAATAATGTCATCACTATTTTAAAGATAAGGGTTATTTTAAACATATCAATTTATCAAAAATAATTTTATACTATTGAATATTAATTAATATTTAAATTATTTCATAATTTTACAATTGTTCTGCAGCTTTTATGGTAGGTAATGAAATAAAATTAAATTTTTCACCATATTTAATTTATTTAAATGGATTTTATAATTTATAGGAATGAAATATTGTTGCATAATATTACGCAACATCCTCTAATAATGTCATCACTATTTTAAAGATAAGGGTTATTTTAAACAAATCAATTTATCAAAAATAATTTTATACTATTATTCAATTAATTAATATTTAAATTATTTCATTTATAATTTCTTTTACACTTTATTTATATTAAACACATCTATTTGATCTATTTAAAGGGATTTTTTAATTTATAATAATAGTTATTATTACCTATATAATATTACGCAATATCTTCTTATGATGCCATTACTATTTTATATTAATTATTTTTTCATTTTTATAAATAAACTACCTTTAGCAAATTTATTAAAAATATTATAGAAAAAAATATTTTGATTGTATTTTATCTCTATTATTCCAATGTTTACACTACCTAGACAATTTTTAGAAATGTAGAAAAACTATGCTTATCATATTTTAACTCTGTTTTTTAACTACTAGATAATTTTTAGGAATCTAAATATAAAAGAAACCATGTTTTACCTATATTAAATATAAATAATAAAAAATTATCTCTAAGTTTAATTGTACCAGAATTTCTTGAAAATTTATTTTAAAAATAGCTTTTCTTAATCTTTATTATTAAATAAATGGTTGTTAGAGTGAAAATTACTAAAAATAAAAAATGCTTACCCAATACACACGCACACGCACAATAAAAACTCACAGCAGTCTATAGGGAAAAACAATTCAAAGGTCTAATTACAAAATAAAAAACAAAAATTGACACAACCGTTTAGGGTAAAAATCGAAATGTAAATTATTTCTTTCTGTTTTAGTATTTATACCTAGGAAGCCTAACCACCGCCTATTGCAGTTACATATTTTGTTTTTAAGCGGAAGTCTCATTTCCGCTTAAAATTCTAGAAACACCGCAAAGTTTGATATCAATATTGTATTGGAATATTTTTTATTTTAAAATTATAATAATGAATTAAAAATAAATATTTATTATTTATATGTAGCGAATTCCTTTAAAAACATTAAATTGATCTTTTATGCTTATTATAAATACATATATAAATTTTATAATTTTAGTTAAATATTATAAATATTCCTCAGTTTTATAGTTATGCCTATTTATTGTTGCATAATATTGCGTAATAACCTCTTATCAGTATAAAGACGCTTTTATTTTATTATTAGTTTTTATTAAAAGTTATATAAACAAATATTTTATTATAAAAAAATTATAATTCTAAATAAGTAAATAAGTTTGTTTTGTTTTATACTTTTTATTTAAAAAATCACTTTTCTTGTGCATTGTAAAATTTTTTGCTTAATTTGATAAACACTTTACGATTAAATTGCTCATATCTACATTTTTATTATAAAATTTATTGCTTTAGATATACATTTTTTATTTATTTTTTCTCTAACTGAACTTTACCACTATTCTGGATCTATAGCATCTCTAGGCGCCCGCTTATCAATTCCGAACGGTAGCGCGGCAGGTAGCACTCTCGACTCCGGTGCAGAGGGTCTCGGGTTCAATCCCTGAGGGCGGCCGGCTGATGGTGCCCGGCTGACGGCGACCGAGCAACCTTGGTGGGAAAAGGTGGATGGTATGAAGTTAGCTGCGGGAGAATTAGTGAAGTTAGCTAGGTTTGAATGTCCTTGGAGTGAAGTTAGATAGGTTTGAATGCCTTGGAGTGAAGTTAGCTAGGTTTGAATATCCTTGGAGTGAAGTTAGCTAGGTTTGAATTTCCCGCCATTCCGGCCCGCAGGTGTGTGACCTTGAAAGCGCCAAAAATTGCAGAATGGACCTTAGATTTTCCTATGGGATTTAACATGGGAAAATGGTCGATTTTGGTCCCGAACTCTCATAGCCCCTTTACTAACGAGTGTTGATTGGAAGATAAATTACGTTGGAGGGGGATTCAACGATTTTATAACCTGGTGCTACTGTTGGATAGAACATATGAAGGATATGTGAGAGTTTATCGTATGTATGAATTAACAGTCAAGTTGCATTCTACACATATGGTATTAACTTTGGTTATGTTGATTGGATTTTTAGACTCGTGTTTTGTATCTTTTTTAAATTCTTTTTTCTCTAATCCCAAGAGACCTATCGAACGGTCCTTGTTAAAGTATATAGTTCCAGTTGACTTTATCTCGCATCTCATAGTATTTCGATTAACTTTTATTGTCAAATAATGATGATTAGGTTGTGGTGGTGTTGTCTGCGTTGGTGTTTTCGAAGGAAAAATAAATTTAACGTGCTCATGTAGGTAAACAGCTAGATCATCAACTTCATAGGTTCCTACAGGTATCTTAAATTCTTTTTTTTTTTCGAAATGAAATATGTTGTTTGTCACCCCCCTTATCTCTAGTTCGAAATTTTTGTATCGCTTATCTATAGGTGGCGCCACCTTCAGAAAACAGCGCTACCAACCCAACGCGCTACGTCACACCTGTCTGGGTCACTTCCGGCGCAGTTCTCTCTTTGCTTCTCTTCGTAGATTAATCAACTTATACATCTATATTTTAAGTGGAATAAAATTACCAAGTCTGGTTAATTGTAACATTCTTTTTAACTTTTTCACTTTTACTTATAAGTAAGGTGACCAACTGTTCTGATTTAATCAGAACTATACTGTTTTTGAGGTCTTCATTCTGACAGGAAATCGAAAGTAGTAAAGGTTCTGATTTTCCTATTTTGGTTCTGGTATGTTCTGATTTAACTTTATAATAATCATATAAAATTAACTTCGAATTTTGATAAATCCATATTAATTTATACCTAATAACTAAAAATAACTGGACTAAAAATACAAATTTCATAATAGTTAATTTATAAATATATATATATTAGGGTGTCACAAAAAAAAAGAATATATTTTTTTTTCTTGTCTCTTGTAAAAATATGTTAGTTTATCATGCTGTGAGAGCCCTTTCAAAATATCAGCTCGATTAAAAATTTTGTAGGGGTCGCTCAAGATTTTTAAAAAATTTCAAAATGGTCAAAAATTGAATTTTTGTTTTATTTTAATTCTTTTTCTCGTCTCGATATTATTTTTTAGGTTGAAAATAATAAAAATTCTGTAAATTTCAAATCAATATTTTGATTTCTATAGGTCGCTAAAAGTTCGTTGATATTTATATTCAGGGGTCGCTCGAAAACATTCAAAATACTCTCCTTTGAAAGTTAAAAAAATCTTGAGCGACCTTTAGAAATTAAAATATCGATTTGAAATTTTCAGAATCATTATTATTTTTAAATTAAAAAATAATATCGGAAAGAGAAAAAAAATTAAAATAACGATTTTGGTAATTTTTAAAAATCTTGAGCGACCCCTAAAAAATTTTTAATGGTGCTGATCTTTTGACAGGGCTCTTAAAACATGACAAACCAACATATTTTTACAAGAGACGAGAAGAAAAAAAATATCCTTTTTTTTTGGACACCCTAATATACAGTATGTCTCAGTATCTTGGAATCATATGGAAAACTTTTTTATTATTAATTTTAGGAAAAAAAGTTATTCTTCATAAAAAGTTCTGCATGGTGTAAAACTTAAAATTCAACCCACAAATATTAATTTTTTTTAGTCGTATACGAGGTATGTCAAAAAATATGAATTTGGCGCAAGAGTAAAGTACCTTTATATTTGACAATATCAAAAATTGTTATAAAGAAAAGTTAATCAGAACTAAAAACTACGTTTAAATATGCAATTTCATACATTTACATTAAAAAATTAGGTTTTGTTAATTTTTACTAATCTTTCTATTTTAAATGAACATTTATCTGTTATGATTACAAAAAACATGAAAACCTTAAGTTAAGTCAGGGGATCTAGCAGGCCAA